ATACATTATGTAAGTACACAAATATTTATCTATATGTGAATTTTTTTCTATTTTTATATATTTATTTACATATAAACAAAAAAGCTACCTAAATAAAAGTTAACTAAATTTAGCAGAGGCCTGTTCTCCCAGTTGCTGACAATCCTGAATAAAATTCCATGGACCACAGGCTACCAAGAGTTTTTAATTTGTAGCTTAGAACATGATCTCTGATCAGGAGGATTCAAAGATATCAAGAATTGGCAGAGGCACTGCATGTGACCAATACGTGTTCTCTGTTGGAAGTCGCTATCACAGGAAGGAGGAGGGTCTATCAGCCTCGGGCTACAAGATCTGTCCCAAAACTCCACTTTGAGATCACAGGTATACAGGTGACTTGGTATTATCCATCCAGCTAGACATCTATATTGCAAAACAACAGTTATATACTGCTACTATATATAACAATTACTGTAACATTTACATTACGTATTTCTCATAATACCTCAAAACTGTATGGTATAGTTTGGGTACACAAAAGCAACTCAACAAATATGAATGTAACTCCTGAAAGTTTGGTAACACCTTATCTCTGAACAGTATTTTCTTGCACCCTAACCTCAACAATCCACTGGAACAAAATGAAGCACTTAAGTAATTAGTTCTACCTTTGCAGTCATGTACAGCAGGTTGTTCAGCACCATAGCTGTAGCCTGTGGTGATCCCCAGCCTTCTCCTCGGAGCCATCGTCTACTGTTCACCATAATTTCTCTGTCTTTCAATGAATCTTCTTCATCTTCATCTTGCCGACGAATGGTTGGCAAAGGTTTCAAGTCTACCAACTCAATATTGTTCATCCATGGCAGCAGATAATGCAGCATCACCTGCCTCCCAGCTGGGTGAGCCGTTTGGATTCTCTGACTTACTTCTGTCATTCAAAAATTAGGTACATTCATGAATTGCAAATCAATAAGGAGAATTGTTTTGGTAATAACAACAACCACCACGAGCCAGTAGACCACACTGATAAAACATAACGCTGATACAGACATATTTTTTTTTGTTTAGCTGACTAGAGCCATTTCATAATGGTAAAGTCCACAGTCTTCAGTAGAGCTAATTGAAGACACTGCTGACAAACAGTATGTTGAAGAAACTGTGTTAGTATACACAAATATACATATTCCTCTAATTGCAGGAGGGAACTGAAAACCTAGAGCATGTAAAAATGTACCAACTTTGGCAAAAAAGCACTTAAAAGTATTTTTCCTCATATTAGTCCCAGTAGGTTTTTTTAATTGGTGTAAGAGGTTATTATTCTGCAATTGTTTAAAAATGTTATGGAATAATATTTACTACAGTAAATAACAAAACAATAGAAAGAACAGCAAAAGAATAGTTTTAACAAACAGTTGTAAATTATTTCCCTAACGTGATTTTTCATGGCTATTAGAAAGTCAGTAAAAGTATCTTTGATTAATAGTTTCCTCTTGAATATATTTCAAACACAAGTAAACAAAAATTGTCCTTCAGTAAATTTCATTTTCTCCATTCATTATGATGATGTTATCTTGTTGTCCTAATTTTAGTAAATTACATACAAATTATGTATTGAAAAATAAGAATTACATGTTTTGCACAATGCTTTTGACTCAATGAAGTTTTTTGTTTTGCTTTAAAACCATACCTGAGAAGATAGCAAGCGTTAGTTCAGGATAAGTTCTTGCTAATTCTTCTGACAGTTGATAATATGACACAGAATACAGATGTGGTAAAGGAGAAGGCTGACCCAAAACCCCATCCGTCCGCTGAACTTCCAGTTTGTGAGCATAACGGAACATCTTTGGTTCCAAGATCTACAATAATAATATTCAGAATTTGAAGCTGAGTATAGAGCTACAATGGAAATCTTTATATTAAAAAAAAAAAAAAAAACACCTTTTAAATTAATGCATCTACTCTTATTTAATGTTTCCTATCTATGCAGACCTCCATACACCTAGAGTATTCACCAACACTGTGGTAATTTCACAGAAGACTAGCTAAGACTCTCTCCACTTGAGTTTCCAAGCAATAAATTCCAGAAATCTTTCACAAAACACCACATTAAATATAAATTTCTCTGTAACAAACCTTAAAATACTGTTGAACACTTGTATTTCCAAACAATATAAATTTCTGCTCATCTGTGAGACATTGATAAGAGCAATGTACTCTTTGACGTAGCAGAGATGCAGCAGGAAGCTAAAGCAGTTTGATACTTTAAAAGTCAGTTTGGGCAGTGGTGTTCGCTTGAGAAGAAAGATGGGGCTGAAAGGGAGGGTGGTGTGAGTTTTTAAACGCTAATGCTGCCTGTAAGATTAAGCTTATCCCTGAATGACCTTGGAAAGGAAGATACAAAAGCAAATTAAATGGCTAACAAAATTTTCACTATCATCTCTCCACAGAGATGGATGAATAAATGTTTGGTATTAATGCAAAAATCAGAAAACTGACTGCTACCCCAGCAGACAGAGTAAAGGGACAGGAAGCAATATGCTGCAATTCTGAACAATCTTCATTTAGGTTTTGTCTCTTGAAAAAGCAGATATTATGAAAATACAAATCTTGAGTGCTTAGTTCATGAAAACAGACACACTTCCGCCAAAGTTTATTTGTGTCAGGTAAGGATCTGGCCTATGTACTAAAATAAGAGAAGAAAAAAGTATATATACATTGTATTTCATTACTGAAGGAACAACCAAATAAGAGATTTTTTTTTTAAACGCACAGGGACAATTCTTAAAGAATAAAAAAAAATTAATCAAAGTTAGCTTACAAACCTGTAATAGTTGCATAGCAACTTCATAGATAGCCCTAGTAGAATCAGCTGCTTTAAACAGTATCAGATTCAGGAGGGTCACTGTGTCACACTGGTAATCCCTAGGGAAAAATTGCAAGTGTGAAATGAGTAAAATTTGAGTTTATTAAAGTTTAATTTACAGGGGATATGACATGGGATAACATAACATTTTGAAAAGTTTCTCTAGTAACACAGACACACAAAGAAGGGTGATCTTTTCTCTTTGGGGGAGGAAAAAAAACCCCCAGTTCTACATGAAAACTCACTTTGAAAATTAAAGTTTAAAGTTTTCAAAAATGCCGTCATACCTGTTTTGGAACACGCTGGCTATGGCTTTAAAACAGCCAGCTGCTACCCGCTTGGAACCTGTGTAACACCGGTCTACGGCCCAGTACATGAGGTTACTCTGGTCAGGGTTGAGTTCCAAGAGCAGCATGACTGCCTCACAGCCTAGCTGGTGAACCTGTATTCCAGAAAAGAACCAATACATGTTTACAAATATAGAAAAAAAGACCAACTTACAAAAATGGCATAAAATAGGGAAATATTTAATTAAAACAAACAAAATCCCCAAAAACCAAACCTGCAACACACAAAATTTGTTCCATCTAAAACCAATGAGACCACATCTACAAATAACAACACATAATTCTATCAAACTGTTTAATGTTCAACTAGCACACACAGTCATAAATTATTGAAGAAAATAACTAGATAACTCTAGTGACTTTTCCCCCCCCTCAGTTCCAAGGCTACCTTGAGCTATTTACTCTTTTTTACTTGTCTTACTACAAGCTGAACACTGACCTGAAAACGTCAGATACAGAAAAGCACTTAAACATGCAGGAATTTACGAGGGATAGATCTATGTGAAGACTTGCATGTTCTCTTGCATCAAAATAGCCCACTGGAGCTCTATTTTTATGTAGTCATACTATTAGTGCAATGGAGAGACTTATCTTTCAAATCTAAAGCTCACCTTGCCGTTTAGATGTAAAGCTCAGTCTTTGTAACTCCACAGAACACTCAATGGGCTCTACAGTCTCATGGAGTTCATGTTCAAAATCTCATCTCCTTTAAACTTTTAAAAGATTTGCTTATAACTACAACTTAACCTAGCTGATTAGTTTATAAGCAATACACTGTGTTTCACTCCTTGCCCTTTTCCATTCTGTTTTGTCTGTTCTTAGACTGTGATTAGGGACTGCCTTCCTCAACAGGGTGAATACACATATTAAGGACAGTGCAAAAACACGCACTACTCCAAAAGCTTTGAGCTTAAGCCACTCTAACGCATTTAGGCCAATCTGACTGCAAAACCCATTAAAGCATATGTTGAAGGGACTGACAGTTGCAAACAAATGTTGACACTGACTGTATTACCTTTTTATCTTGTGAATCCAAAATATTATCCAGCCATTTGTATAAATAGCCGTCAGAGGAGAGCCCGACGTTATCTGCAACAGGGCCACAACACAGTACAGCAGACATAGCCTTTAGAAAGTAATTGAAAAACACTACATTTTAATAACTCAGACACAGGAAGTGCTTAGTAAAAGTCCATTAAAATATCAGAAAACTAACTTCTATTCAGTCAAGAAAGGAAGACCAAGGCTAATAAAAACACTGTTTAACATCTTATTCAAGAAATTATCAAATCACATTTTTCTCAACTCCCAAATACAAGGAACTGTCAATACAGAAATGCTGACATACATAAGAGTTAATAAGTCAGTCTGAACGTTAATGTACTTTTATACGAAAGCCTTTCTCCTTAGGTAACTGAGGACTAAAGTTATGGGAAGTGAACATTTAGTAGTAATTTTAAGAAATTCCTATAGCAAGTGAAATAGTTTACAACATGGAAAAAGCCAAACTGTCATAAGTACACACGTAGGTAGACGAGAAAAAGAACTAAGTCATGAATGACAACAAGGATGTGAAAACCACATCCAAAAAGCCCAAATGTTAAAGTTGCATTAGAAAAGTCAACATAACAATCTATTTCCAAAATTCAAAAAGTGCTGAAATACCTTTAATGCACAGTATTGGTGTCTGTTTATTCGCATATTCCTATCACTGTATCTGTCCAAGGGAGTAAACATGATACTAAAAGGACCTGCCCAATGACTGAATAACATAAAGAGACTGTGGCGTAGACTCTGCTGTGGAAAGACACTTCTTCTCTGGTGTACTGTAAGAAAAGCACACAGTTAGACACACTCATCATTCTTTAAAATAAACTATGTAAAACAGACCCAAACAATGAACATTAAAGGAAAAAATCAGTGTACAGACACATTATTTCAACATCATAACAGCTGGATGTAGGTTTATTATTGTCCTGTTTAATGCCACTAGTGTACAAGAATAAGCTATTTATTAGTCTAGAAAATTTAAATGCACTGCCAACCAACAAGACTTTTAAAGAAAATTACTTGCACGCTTCCAAACAGTACCAAAAATCCCTCTTAAAAACTCACGCTGCAAAAGTTATATTCAAAATTGATGGCCAATTATTTTTATGAAAGTATTCTAAAACTTCAGAGAAAAAGTGGATTTTTTGTTCGTTTAGTTTTGTTTGGCTTGTTTTTTTGGTTTTTTTTTGTTTTTTTTTTAAATGTACTGCATATTAAAGACAGTCATCAGAAGTTATTAAAGCATTTTTACATACCTGGAACATTTTGAATGATATTTGCCACTAAGGCACTAAAATGGCATCGGATATCTTTCAAAGTATCAGAATCCTTTTCATTTTCTGCTTCTAGGAGTTGTCTCGTTAGGTCAACATACTCAAGCAAAGTGTTGTTGAGGGAATGTGTTTCATTATCAAGGCCACCGCTTGCACTTAAAAATAAAATAAAAAAAAAAATCAAGTAGTATGATAAATACATGCAACAATTTTTGAAAACAATCCTTATTTTCTTCTCTAAAAAAACCCTACAACCTCATCAATGCAAATATTTAATTCAAAGTCATTTCTTTAACCAGCTTCTATTTCAGTGTTAAGTAAAAAGCTCCAGTGAAAGTGAACTAACTAGCCCTAAATTGCTTGCTAGCTTCCACCACAGAGTCAGACTGGCCTCAGAGAGAAAAGCTGACAAAGTTTCAGGGTGCAGACTGTGGTTAGGAGCTATTTTGCATATGCTAATTAAACACCAGTGAGTACCTTAAAAGATAAGGGAGAGTACAATTTTAACAGCTGGACTCTGAAAAATCAGCATGCCAAAAAGAAGAAAAGCTTTTTAACAATGCTTCTGAGGCAACATTCTGAAATATACTGTAATACCTTCTTAAAGATTGAGAATTTCACACTGATTATATTGCTAAGGTTGACAAATATATATTTAAGTATCACTGTCTAACAGAAGGGGAGGAGCTAATCTAACCATCTCCTAACCTACTTGCTCTTATACAATTCCACCTGCACAGAAAAAAACATTTGTAAAGAGACATGTTGAACATATGCAAGAATTTTAAATCTTCTTTCAAAGTGTCCCTACACAAGTAGGGTAAACTCAGAAAAAAAACCCAACCCGATTAACATTCTGCCTCCCTCAGAAAGGAAAAAGTCCAACACTAATGAACAGTAGCCTTCTCTGCAGAGGACACACTGACTAGTGCCAGGACTCTAGCTGAGGAAGAATTCCAGACTGATCATAGAGTAACTGTAACTTGTGTTTTCTGATTCGCGTAACTGCTGCAATGCTGGAGCACATGCGAACAAAAAGGAACATGACACACTGCCTGTTCAGAGCAATGTCCCGGGGAATAGTAGCATTTTAAATAAAACAGACTGCTGTGATAAAAAGCATAAGGGAGGGAGGGATTAGCAAGCCAGTAAAATTCCAAGTTTTATAAAGCCATGTCTATTTATTTAGTGGTATACTAAAACTCACTGAAGAATTTTGCATGCTTGTTATACTGGGTCATAAGAATACTAGTGACTTAATTCAGAAGCATAAACATCATTATCTCACCAGTGCTGCCCCTACCTGTGACTAATGACACCAGCATCTGCCAACAGTTCAAATATTCGTACTAGTTGTACTCGTAAAATATCTCGACGCCTGCGCCGTTTCATGTTCTATTCAACAGAGGAAACACAAAATTAAATGAAGTAGAGGAAAAACTAAGTATAAAACCAGGGTATAAAAGCATTATTATATGTGTACTAAAACTGGCATCAATTATCAGGGGTACCAACCTTTTAAGATGAGTTAGCAAAATCACTAGCAATTTTAATAAACCAGACAACAAACAAAGTTTTTCCCTCTTGCAACTCTGAGATATACGAGGTTTGCTATTACATGTATTATCAAAATAACATGTTTTTATCAGTCTCCTGTCACAAAATGCAACACATAAAATAATGAACTGAAGTACAAATGCCAATCTTTCTACACATTTGCATGCAAGGCTGACTAAAACACACTACAGCCCAGTAACATTTTGAAACAGAAGCGATGTTCCTTCCCATCATCTGCACTTCATCACAAATTTATTACTAATAAGAGTATGACAGTTACCACAAAAAATACTGAGTAAACATCTCTGAGTTTGTGTTTGCAGAGATTATTATTTCTATGAATACCTACTGAGGCTTCTAAAGCCTGCTGTAAAACATGCTCTCCATCAGAAAATTCTTAGTCATAGCAGTCAGTCAGGTGAGCTTACAGCCTTTCTCATTTAAAAAAATCCCAAAGTTGGTAGACAGTAGAACTCAATTCTGTATCTTAGGTACTACTAATTGTGAGCATGTTACTGATTATACAATAAAATAACAACTGTGTAAAACTATGCTTAGGTAAAAGGAATTAAAAGAATGTGGAAGAGGTTACAATAATTTTTTAATCATTTGAAACAAAATGTCTTTAGTACAGGAATAATACAGAGCTCAAAACAAACACAAAGCTTTTCTAATGTAAACACCTCACAATCATTTTAAAAAGCAGCATCTCACCTTTTTATCTGGTATACTGACAGTTTTTAGGTGCAGAAATTAAAGAACATATGTAACATTTCTTCACCGTTTGTGAGAAGATAGTTAAAACTGTGTACCGAATATAGTGGAAAATATCTAATTACCTCTGGCCTTCTTTCAAGTGCTTCCTTAATTATAGGATGTAATTCTTCTATTAGTTCCCTGAATTTAAATGATAAAAACAACCATTAAATTAACATCTCATCTGAAAGATGTTTCACAGCAACTAGTGTTACAATATAACTTAAAACACCCTCAGGTTTTCCTTCTTTACCTGTAGGTTTCTAGAATAAATCAGCATTTAAAAGAGATGTTTCCTAGAAAGATATTTTCCTAATTTAAAGACAGACTACTAAACAGATGCGTCAATTACCACTAAATTTGCATTCACCAAGTATCATGGTGTATTTCTGTCACAGATTATTTTCATTTATTTTCATCTTCAGGGTTTAACAAAGCCTTATGGTGCAAAAAGATACTATTAGGGGAAAAAAAAAAGATGTTGGCAGCTTATCATACAATGCTCTTTCAGTTGTCATGATGCATTTAGCTGCTAATAGAGATTGTTTCTTTAAGGCTAATAATGCTATGCTGACAGAAGTCAGACCAGTCTCTATGAAAACTAAAAAGCAACATGCTTTGATGCTGTGGTTACATTCCAAATTTGTTCTGAACCTCCACAGTCTTTATTACTATTCAGTTCCTTCTGCCAAATTGAGACTCTTAACAACTCCAAAAAGCGGGCAGGGAAAGGGGAAAATCAGTAGTATGGATCTACACAGACAAAATACTAAGGTAAAAACATATTGGTTTTACTTGAATACTTGTTAACATAACAACTACTGCCTCCAGAGTTGTTGGAGTGTGACACATTTTTCTACCTCCTGTGCTACTGTAATTCAGACATATTAAAAGCATAAACTGCTTCAAGTTTTCATGGTAAATGACTGACTCCTCTGCTACATGACTCAAAGGTTCTCCTTCAGAGAATGGGTTCACGTTATCAGAAAGCTGCAAAAACTTTTGCGGTGTGCTCAATTATAAGAGATTTAAGCATGGCTAGGGATCGTTTTATATTTTCTTTCAAATGTAGAAAACACAGAAAATAACTTGGACAACCTTTTTTTGGTGGTAAAACATAGTAAAGGGTCCGCTACCAATGGAGAGAAAGAGACACCTAGACAAGTTCATGTGATCAGTAAGAGAAGACAAAAGAGAAAAAGAATACTGTAGCAAGTTTTAGTGGAGTGCATATACATAGAATATATAATGAAAAAAGACTCTGAGTAAAACATACCAAGTGGGGAGGAACAATGCTTAAAAAGACAAAACCAAAACAACAAATCAGTGGGGAGCTGCAATGGTGAAGGATGGGCTACAGTTACCATCTGGTGTGAGTACGCATGTTGGACAGAGGAAAAAAGGTAGTCATCAGAAGCAAAACATATAGTTTGAACAAAGTAATCAGAAGAATGAGGAGAATGAGGTTTTGTTTTTTTTTTTTTTTAAGGTTTGCTGAATGCATTGCTTCTGATTTAGAAAACAAGGATTTCTGGTAAAAACCTTTCTGAAAGCATTTTTTAGACTTGGAGAGCACAACTATGATTTAAACTGCTCCGTAGATCTTCAGAGTCATGGGGCAAAGTTGTGCTTTACTCCTGGTAGGAGACTGAAGTCACACATGATATACAATTAGAAAGATTATCAAAGGAGTAAAACAGAGTAATGGTATAACAGTAAAACTGAGGACGTGGCATTTATGGTTTCAAACACATCTTTGGCTCCTCATCTACCATAATATGGGACAGACATGATTGGAGAGAAGAAGTATCTCACTGAAAACCAGGAGTGTTAGCGATCCCTGGTTTCTTCTGCAGAAGCAGAATTGGTTGCTATAGCGTGGTACAACTTTATAACTCTCCATTATAAGAAGTTGGCTGCTGTCAGAGAACATCTGATGCTGGGCACTGGCCTTCCCAGAAAGTTTTCTTCCCCTCAGATATTCTCCCTCTTCATCCATCCTCCATACAGAGAGAGCTTTCAGTTGAGAACAGTGGCATAGAGATGCATTTTAAAACTCATGGCTTCCTGGCATAGAGCTGCCTTTTCACCTCAGTGGATTTGTACTACACATTGACAGTACAGCACGTTAGGATGCGAAGAAAAGTAAATTTCAGTTGAGGCATGAATACCACAATGGCTAGACAGACCATTTTGAATTCAACATTTGTATAGACTTGTCACAATAGGGTAACCAAAACTTTTGGATTATGAGCTGAATCCAAATATGTATATAAAATTAAATTGACAGAACAAGTGACTTGGCACCGATTTAACTCTGCTACAGTAGATCACATTTACCAGCACCCAACCTAATCCACATGTCATCGGTACAACATATGAGAAAGGTGTATTAGTTATGAAGTTAAGGGAAGCTCACTCATGAAAAAAAGGGCAGGGGAGGCGGGGACGGATGCATCATGAATTTCAGAAGCTTCAGCATTAGTCAGAAAACAGTTTAACTGGTACTTTTTTTCACCTTGATCCAATGGTCTCTTTTTAGAATACAGTTATCATGAATCTCCTACACGCAAAGTGCTCAGAAACATATGATGTTGGCAATACCAATAAGGAGAGTTTAGTAACTCTTACAAACATGATTATCATTAACATTTCAAATGTTAATAGGCCACACAGCCTGTTATTTCATTTAAGGGCAGCCTTTAACATCAATAAAAGGCAGTTGTTTATTGTTTCAACTAACTTCTTTTTCTTTATGTAGACATGACCTCAACATGTCTATCTAATAAAGATTTTTAGAGGTTGAAATAATTTTATCACACCACTAAATGCTAGGAAAGACAATCAGCTTTCACAGCTGTTTTAAAATTCTGGAAAGAAAAAAAAAAAACACCAACCTTTTTTTTCTGAGCTCTGACTCCCCAGCTTTGTAATCAATTAGCATAAAAACAGATGAAACACCAGTTACCTAAAAGCTCCTGGGTTGGTCCTGCCAAGTCCCAGCACAAGGGATTCTGTAATTTCCATGCTCTCAGAGCGCATCATTGGAACTATGTGCTTAAACAGGGAGGAAGGGGATGGAATGCCAATGATCTAAGAAAAAAAAAACAGAAGAAAACAGAATGAAGTAGTTACCAAATAATCAGGTGGTGTTGACATTAAAACATCTGCTGTAATTTAAGAGTCTTCTCACACTGATCAGCGATTTAAAATGATAAAAATGAAATTTTTGATCTTTGACATGGAAAAAGACTTTCTGAAATAGTAAAGTAGTATTAACTACTTCTCCATTCCTTGCATAATTGAATTTTCATTGTCAGATGACAATGAATGGCTCAACGCAATAAGCAGATGCTTTGCATGTTTACCGTATCTGCCCTCCTTAGGGAGAGGAAGCAGACTTCTTGTGTCCAACTCCTTAGTCTCCATTGTGGGTCTCGCAAAGAACAAAGCTTTCAGTCTACAGTTTCTCAGATTTAGGGAAAGGATCTTGGTAACAAACAAGTGGAATAGGCTGCTTCTGCCAAAAATCTGCTGCACAGGCCATGAGTTATCTACACCTCTACCGTACCTTCTACAGGAAGCCAAAAAGGAGAAGAACAAAAAGAAGCAAAGAAGCAAAAAAACCCCAAAACAAACCTGCAGGTGACAGGAAGCAAGGCAGACAGAAAAGTGTCTGTGGTTGGGAAAAGCATAACAAGATACATCATGGCTGAATAGCTCACTGCTTCAGTTACCAAGGTGAGAGGCTATTTGCTCAGAATTGCAGAAGTCTGACAGCAAAACCACCTCCTTAATGGTAAACAAAACATTTCCTCATTACCACTAGGTAAGACTTTACAACTGGGTTAATGTTCTCTTGACATGATTAGATTCTGTGTTAAAAAAACATAAGTAGAAAAGCCTCTACAGCCCAGATTGGGAGAAGCGAACAGAAACACTATCCTAAACAAATGAAACACCATGTGTGTGAAAACATGTTTTAATATAAATTACACCACTTTCAAAGAATCATGACAGTTATTCTAAGCCTTAGGTCTTTCTACTTCCAATAACATGTAGACTTATTTAGAGTAAGGATTAGAACCACCTACTCTTGAATCAATGCTATAACCACTGTCAGGAGTAGACGCCAGCGTCTCAGGAGGGGAACATCTCACAGAGCCTGCGGAGGTGGAGGAGTTTGAAGAAGATGCTGCACTGCAGCAAAGAATCAGGTAGTTTCTCCAGAGCCCAATATAGGAGTCACTGCTTGTAGTAGTATTCACTTTCTTTGCATTGATAGGGCTGCTATTAAAAACAAAACAAAACATCTCAGTATAGTAAATAAAGCTTACCAGGTTTTCCCTTTGTTTTGCTACTGAATTTATTTTTCAATTAGGTACATGCCATTGCTTCCAAAATCGTTAACACAGTAAACTCTGAACAAATTATTCAGAACAGACCTGTACATCAATAATGTATGCGTTTATAGTCAAATCTGTTGAACTACGATATGGCCAAAGGCATGAATTAATTAATCTTTACAGCAAATAACTTTTTTCCAGATAGAACTGCTTTAATGTTTTGTTATATAAAGCTGAATTAAACCCATAGAAAACATTAACAGGGCATATGTCACCTCACTGAAACATAATGACATTACAATGATGATAAATGTTGAAAGAATACTCATTATAGTATGTTGCATTTACTTTAGGAATTAACTTACTTGATATCCACTTGTGGAGACAACAGTTGTAGTCTGGTATAAGCAAATGTCCAAGCGTAGCTTACAGCTGTTGGGCAGTGTTTTGGAAGATTTTCCTGTTTCATAAAACTTGAGAGGCTTATAATCCATGGGTCTTGGCCTTGAGTCACATGTGCAAATATCCATATGTGTGATGGACTGACCACATCAAACTGGTGGCTGATTGGGGAGGAATTCCAGTCAGCCAGAGTTTGCAAATCTATTGAACTGGGACAGTACAGTAAAGTAGTCTGTGCGCATAAAAAAAGAGAACAAGGCAATATTTAATACCCATGTATATTAAAAAACAATCTCTTCATTGTTAAATATCTAATGAAGTCTTAGTGTCAAAACCACATCTGAAATAGATAGAACATATTACTTAACTTATGTGTCGGGGTTTTTTTACAGAAGTTCCTAATGTAAACAGTTATATAAATGTGTTGTTTGGAAAGGAATGGGATATTAGGAAATAGTAAATTCCAGAAACAAGCCCTTTCACTCATGATAACTTAATTCTTCCAAAAGATTCAGGACTCTAAAAGCCTTACTACTGAATTCCAACCTGTTTCCTAAACCTAAAAGCAGAAGGGCTTCTCCTTGATAATTAAGAGTTAATGATAAATACGGAATTCAGTTGATATTCATGATAGTTATATTACAGCTTTCATCATGGATAAAGGACACATAGACTGTTAGACACTGTAAAAAAAAAAAAGCAGTGGTCTTTCTTTCAAAGAAATTGTAATCTATGAGCAAGATGAGAAAAAACAGATAGAGCTGTCTCTGTGTGTATGGTGGCAATAACAACACACTATCGATCCGAAAGCATACAATGGTGGTGTCAGCTTCACAACATTCCTCAAGTTTTCTGAGGTGGTTGTTTTTTTGGTTTGGTTTTTGGTTTGGTTGGGTTTCTTTGTTTTAAGGTGATAAATTGCGGATAAAGTTAGCATGAACATAGTGACACTATCACTTGAAATATATGCAATTTATTTGGGATGGTTTTGCAGAATTACCTCATCTTGCATCCAACTTAACATAAAATCTCTCCTACCTGGTCAGCCCCAGTGAGATGGATGAAACTCTCCAGGATAGTAGCACTTAGTCTGTCCATTACATCAATAGCCAGCTCATCATCACTCTACAAAAGACGTAACACAAAGCATAAAAAGCTCAAAGTCAAGAGAAAAGCAATTTCATTAAGCAGTCAGAACAACGGGTCATCGATTCTCACCTTAGAAATGTCTAAAAGTGTGAACAAGGCCCTTATTTCTCTAAGAACGCTGACAGCTAATCTCCTGGTGGCAGGCCTTGTGCTGCAAAGGATGACCAAAGCAAAGCCTTCCACTACATGAAATACACTGGAATAAAGGGTCCTCTCCAGAGGAAGGCTATGGGCAGCCCCATTGGATACACCACGCTAAGAAAAAGATCGCAGAAGTTAGGCAATTAAGAAAAAAAAGTAAAAACACAACCAAGCTACAGTTCCATTACTGGCGATGGCAGAATTAATCATCAGGTATTTAGATCTTGTTTGGCTATTAGTCAAATTTTGCATTATGAGACTGACATAATATCATCTATCTCTCTGAATTCAGTCCAAACAAGTATCACAACAAAGTCTTTCTTATGTCGCTTTCTCATGAGAATGATGCAGTGAGGGCAAAATTAAAAATACACAAGTAATACTCTCACATATAGGATTATATAAAATTATTTGAACTCTTTCTTTTCATTTAAAAAAACCCAAACTTTTTTTTTCTAGTTCTACTGTTTAAACATTCCTACTTAAAATAGTTCCAGTTATACATGATGACTTTTGATGTAAGCAAAAATGTGGCCATGAATTAGTGTTTAGGGAATGCTTAATATATTAAAGTAATTTTTTGGCAAAAATGCTGATTTCAAATAATAGGTCTAAAAATCTTCAAGCACTGAAAGTAAGTAAGCTCAGTTTTTATTACTTAACAAAACTAATAAAGACTACTAATAAAATTGTATGTAGATTCAAACTACATTTTAACATCAAAGGACCTTATTTAGAAATACCTGAGAATCTTGGTTTTTATTGTGCATTTGGGCTGCTTGTTTCCACTGATTTATGAGCTGCACTAACATTTTTACTGCATTGTCAAGAAGCGTTGGGTGGACATCAGTCACTTCACGCACAATAAAATATACAAATCCCGAAAGAACATCTTCCCGCCAATCTGGAAAATCAAGCATTAATGCTTGGAGAGTATTGAAAGCCAAGGCACGAAGTTCTTCATCCATATGAATTGTCAACCTGTTTAGAAAAAACAGTGGTATCATCACCCCAGATTGGCATACTCTTAACCAGCCTTTATAAATTCAAGTTTGGTATTAAGTCTTACTTCTTTACTGTACAATGGAGAATACTTCCAACACAGATGCATTTTCTGCACTGAATACATCTGAAACTGGCTACTAACAGAAGGCACTACTACTACAGCAAAATAATGCAAGACCCTAGCAAAACTTTTCAAGAGAGATAGTCAAGTCTTTCAATATAGGCACATCTTTGCATGCATCTGAGCAATTCAGAGCTCAGTGAGCAGGCACCCTGTGACGTACAGGTTATTTTTGCCAAATTACAATTGAAGAGAACAGATAAAGCAGCTCAGCCCACTATGGTGAAAGAAACTTCACCAATACTGCATTATTAATTAATATTTCATGTCTTTTAAGTGATTTTTGACACTGAAGAAAAAGTGTTAGAAAAATCTTATTCTCTTACATTATTACTAACTTTTTATATATGTAACAACACATTATATGCAAATGAATTTATAATTTTAAAGCTAAAAAGCTATCCTGTATTTCTGCACCAAGACCATTCTTCTATTAAAAATAAAAAATTAAAGAGGAAGGTTTATCACCTCTAGTAATACATAAAGACTGTCTGCGTGTACCACAACCACATATTCTTACTGAATGCTCAGTTTAGCCACCTGCAAACACCTGGCTGTCCAGCTGTCTCAACTACTTGTCAGTACTGATAAGGCACATTCAATTTAAATTGAGATAAAAGAGGGAAGTATATGGGTAGTGTTGGATGACAAAAAAATAAAAATAGAAGGAGGAAGCAGGATTAGTAGAGAACAAGGAAAAAAAGTTTCCCATAAGTGTCGTCTCACATTTTGGTAACATCAAACAAGAATGCCTTTATGATTGTTTACTATTAGCAATAGGAAGGGAAAAAAAAAAAGAAAGAAAAGAAAAAAATGGGAAAAGTATGACAGTAGTAATAAAAAAAACCAAGACAAATTCAAAAAACCAAAGCAACACAAAGAGATCCCTACTTTTCAAAAAATTCTCTCTAAAAATAAGTGCAGGTCTCCAGGATAAATTTATGTCCTGCTACTCTGGCCAGTAACACCTGACCAGCTGCAGAAGTTAAGCAGGAATAGGAAGAACGGATTCTGTACGCAGTGGTCTCACACTACATCGTGCACTGATAAACTCTCACACACACAGCATTTAAAAAGGAACATCCACTAAGAGTAGAATTTATATCCCTTACCTTGCAAGCAATTCAATGAGGTCAGTCCTGCTCATGCCATCTGGAATCAGTCTTGGGATAGCAGCGATACAAGTTCTGAACAAATCTATCTTAGGTTTTCTCTCACCCCTACAAAAACAGTTTATAACCAACAAAACAACAGGAAAATCTACTTCAGCACACCACAAACAGTTTCAATTTCATGTCAAAACTAAGGCGCTAACAAAAATTTTTATAATTAATTAATAAAATTAGCATTCATTTAATAGTCAAGTAAAAACTCAACAATTAAAATGTGTTCATCATGGCATCTGCAACATTACAGCATAAAAATAATATGACATAACTGTGACAGTGAAAATATTGTAATTCAGTACTTACGTAATCATGTCTTCAGGTTCCTTATTGGACATCTGCACACTAGTCATGCACATGGGCCTTCCAACTTCTTTGTCCAAATGCCTAAGAATGCTATCTAGCGCTTTTCTGACTTGAGGGTAGTATATGGACATTCCTGAAAAGCCAAAGAGTTCTGATCATCTCTTTCGTTTGTTCTTATTTAATTTTCACATTTTTGTTAAAATACTTGCCACTTATTCATCTTAAGACAAATTTCTTGTACAAAAGATGACATGAAACACACACTTTAAGTGTCAAAAGAACGGCACATTACATGAGTAGTAGTAGGTATTATATGAAAGTAGAACTTTCTTTCAGAAAGAACATAAACAAGGAAGCAATCATTAGTTGCTTTTCTGTTTTCTCAATTCCAAGCACTTTACTTCTAGTTTAAATTTTACATGTTGAAACGGTCCTTTAGAGACAACTACCTCATCCACAGTAGATCAACAAAGCACAAGGATAAAAACTGTTTTACTCCACTTCAGCTGTGGGACATTTGGGACATTCTAGAGAGACATCAAGGGAACAAAAATTGCCCTGCTATTTACCACACTAATTGCACTCAGGCTTCTTTGTGCTAATATGGCAGTGCAAAACAATTTTTAAAAAGCCATGGATTTGGTCTCAGACACCCAAAGGTCAATATTTTCTAGCAGTCCTCTCTAAAGAATCAAAGCAATTCTGTTAAAACAGACTATCATTAGATTATCACTAACAAAATAAATACAGAAATAAAATTACACAAATGTACTGCTTGAGAATAATTGAGAATGTATACACACACACTGGAATGTCAAATTACAAAAGAATACAACATACCTATAACTTTCGCTTCCTCATCTGTCAGTGTTTTATTAAGAAAAATTTTCTTCACGCGCAGAGTATTTCCTGAGGGAAGAACAACTCCTGTTGTTGGCATTGGTGGTTCACCATCTTTCTGCTGCAAGCTATCTGCTATGACAAGGAAGACTCTGAGGCCGATATTCATCCTCTTCAATAGCAAAAAAGGGAATGAAAAGGAAAGAGAAAACAGAAGGAATTTTAACATTAAAGTAACACTGATGAGGGAAAATACAAATTGCATTTTTCTTCTCTTTTAAAGAGACAACAGTACGGTTCCAGTAGGACAGGCATTATTTAAATGTTACCTAGGAGGGTAATGAAAGTAACAAGAATAAAGTTTAGGCCTTCAGTGCCTCCCCACAACTCTGATTCCAGTTAACTGGCTCGACACAGGCTAGTATACCAAATATTTTAGAGTACAGGGCACTAAAGGACTTAATATGAATTTCAAGAATTACATACTGAAGACAGACATTGCTTAAACATGCCATCTGTTAGGTAGGGTCTTGAACCAGAACAGCTAGGTATGACTTTCCTGGAAAAAGGCTTTACAGTTATACTGTAACAAAAATTCACACATACGGAAGGAAATTATTGTTTAAATGAGTCTCAACTGTTGCACTGCTGCTAGGGTACTCACCAGAAATGAAACAGCAATTGTGCACAACTACAATCACTTCTTCAGTTTTAGCAGAACATCCCTTCAGATATTTATTAATCTGCTTTCATCATGGCTCAATAATAGTTAACTGCTTTCCCCCCAAAAATGCCCCAATGCTCTATTCTTGCTGCATGCAAGTAATGAGCTTTTATTACCTCTGGATTAATAGTGAAGGTTTTAGGTGATTTTCCAACACTAAGAAGATCGAATATTATTTCTTTCATTGCGAAATCCAAACGTTCCTATAAAGGAAAACAGATTGATACGATAATCTCTTTTCTGTTAATATGCATAGTTTAATTTCTTGGCTTTGCACAGGTGCTGGGTATCATGTCTTGAAAGTTTTTTTAAAAAGTTTTAAAAAAATATTCCTTTTTTTCTATTTATTCTTATGACTTAATGTTCTTTTTTAAATATAGTATAATTCAACACAGCTTATCCCCTGATATGCTTGAACCATTTCTCCTGAAAAAAATTCCCAGGCAATTCTGCTCAAGTCAAACAGATTTCTACAAATGAGCTGAACTGTTTTAGATAACTAAAAATTAGAGATAAAAAGAGGGAGCTCTAGGAAACAAATATAATAAACAGAGAAGGGTTGTGTGTCCTGCCTCATCCCTGTATGACCAGAAACAAATCATTTTGGAAGCTGAAGCACAGACAAGCTATGTGTAAGACAGGAAAACATGTCTCTAATCTATAAGGTTATAGATGAATGAGAGTTTATCTTGTGAGATCATATCTTGCATGTTGCTATTGAGACAACAGAAGCACCTAATACAAATCATAATGCAATACTGCATGCATTCCATATTTTTTCTGTCCACAGAGCCTAGTCTCCAGGCTAAACATAAGTGGATATTACTGTTCAAATGCCTTGTCCCTTATAAAAATATTATAAGGGCATATACTAATTATATTAGAGTATATATGTATCTATATACACACAATAGTGTAATAAAAATGAACATATCAATCATCATAATGTTCATACACAAAAGTTACTGAAGTTTAAGTAAAATAATTTTGCCACTACTAGAAACAGAATGAGCCTTTCATTTGTTATACATATTTGGGGAAATACTAGTCAAGATATAAGACCATTAATTCAGTGCAAATATTTCAAAACCTAACCTTAAATTTACATTTCTTCCAAATAATGTTCATCCTATTCTTATAGTTCTACCTAGGCATATTCTTACCTGAGCAATGAACTGAATAATCTTCACAAATATATTCAGAGGTGTGTCTCGTGGGACCACACTACGTGATCCTTTTGGAAAAAGTGCTGAAACAATGCTCATGAGACGGCTACAAGAATTCAGAAACAAAAAGAAATTAAAAAAAAAAAAACTTTTAAAAATAACTTTTTTATAATAGCACAGATGCTACAGTTCAAATCTGGAACACTGTGGTGGGGTTACTATGAAATAATATAGAAGCACATGACAGGTAGGACCACCTGCAGAAAGTTACAGCCCTCTACTGTCACAGGCAACAGTATCATGGGTTCATTTATAAAGCGACCAAGATCCTGCTTTACACTAGTTAGAAATAATCAGGAGGAGGGGCTAAATCTGAATGACTATTCCAAATCCTCCTAATGCTCATTTATAAAGAAAATCTTTCCATTTCCAGCCCACAGTTAGTGATGGCCACTTCATATCCATATATTCATATTTGTTCTTGTACCATTAGTGCCTTTTAAATTTCCTGCTGCTTATCTCTCTGCCCTCTTCTATCCCTGCAAAGACAATCATAACTCCTTCTCCTCATCAAAGTAATCAAGTTCTTTTGGTGTTCTCTAGTAAGATGAAGTCTTTGTTCCCCTGTTTACTCAACTAGACCATCCCTGAGCTGGCTTCAAGATCTCTTTTGAGATCAGTAGGGGGGAAAAACCCCCACCAATCAATAGGTTAAAGTCATTTGCATAATGAACTTACCTTTGAGTTACAGTGTTACTTTCACATTTTATTCTAATAACATAAACCCACAATAACCTATACAAAGATTCCAGTGCAACTCGGGACATTTTGGGATCTTTATTCTGTAAAATAAACGAAAAATACAGTTACTGTTGCCTGTGAGACACTCAGAAAATTCTATTATTACTCTTTTGACATTATTTTCAAGTTTTTTTAACCACGAAAACTGGTGTGTTTAATACTGACTAAAAGTTTCAATGTGTTTTCAGAAAAACAACCGTGCGTATTGCGTATTTCCAATACTACCTGAATATTTAACTAGCAATTCCAGATTATTTTACATGTGTTTCTCACTCCGAGAGCAGATGAGTAACTTAAAAGCACATATTCCTCTTGAGATGAACACCAAGGGTGTACTGCTTCCAAGAACTTTTCTCAGAAAGCCACTGGTAACAAATACCTACTTTATAGCAAAGTAACTTCTAGTTTCTTTTAAGTATGGGAGTAGCTGCTTTGGATCAGGTACAAAGTCTAAGTCCATCATTCTGTTTATGACAGCAGACAGTAGCAGGTGCAGAGGAAAAGAGTGTGAAACAGGGCAGGCACACAAGGATGCGTCTCTGGGTGTGCACTGCAGGCTTCACCCAGCTTAGCTGTTTCCTGTGGGCTGTATTAGTGTTTACTCACTTCCAGTTATTGCACTCACTTCAACTGTTATTGTAACAGTTAAGCTAGTTTTTTCTTGAATTAATATAAAATCTTGCGACATAATTGTTTAAATTATGCACTGTATGAAAAACAATTATTTTTTGTCTTAAAGGGGCTACTAAAAGTTTACCTTTGCTCCTCCTAGCTATTAGACTGTATAAAACAGCAAGTAACTAACATTCTTCATACTACCTCCAGCAATCCCTTTTACAACTAGTGATTCTTGGTGTATTTATAAGCTTGAAGTGTCCAGTGAGATTCTTGGAACTGGCCATACGTATGAGCTTATGAACAGAATAAATGATTCCCAGTTGTCATCTTCTGAGGCAGTCTTTCAATTTAAAAAAAAAACAAACCACAAACCCAAACAAACCAAAACCAAGAAACCCAAAAAAACCCAAACAAAAGCAACAAAAAAACAACAAAAAAAATCCCCAAAACACACCATGCCCATCTCCAGTAAAGTCTCTCCGTTTCAAGACATATCTATATGATGGCTTGAACATAACCAATTTCACATTTCGTGGCCTCTACCACGAACCAATGAGTGAGAATAGCAGAGTACTTTGTCCTCCCAGGACAAGTGGGGTGCAATTTCACAAAGGGTGTAAGTGGATCTAAGACCACACTGTTCAAAAACGAGATGGTCTCCTCCTTGATTCCCTCCTCTGCAATCTCACTGCTCCCTTTGCATTGGCTCTAGCAGTAAGAAAGGTCAACTCACATCAGTAAGGTAATCCAAATAATTTCATGGCCATGTCTGTGCAATAGACTACACAAAGGAGAGTAATTTGGATGGCTTTAACACAGGTGAGTTGGGACTACTGGTTTGGGCAGCAGCTTTCTTTAAGAAAGGCTAAAAGGCTATCACAAAAATCACAGAGGTAAAAGTGGTGCTTCACAGACAGATAACATACATGACTGTTTATCAGAATATTAGAGCAATAGCTTAACCCAGTCTATGCGAGCGATAACGCTGTTCTACCCTCCCTTCACACTCAATGTGTTCCTGCCATCACCTTTGAAATAGCACACCTGCAACTAGACAGCAGGTAGATTTAGGAAGGTGATCTGGACAAAAACTAACCAGCAAAAACTTACACGTGTCCCTGACTAGTATTCAGACAGATAACTGTCCCACTGTCCTGTCAATTCACCAGCAGCAGTAGTGTTAGGAAGAAGCAAACACTCATAATTATATGAGACAGCGAAACTGATAGCTTTGATTTTAACCAACTTAAACGGCAAAACCCCCATGATATTATTACTTATATTTAATCTACAGACCAACAGTTCTTGATGTTCAAAGTAGGCTGGTGAATTCATTGGTACACGTATTATCAAAGTCTAGCTGAAATGTGGTGTCTAGAACAGAGTAATGCTGCGGTTTCCTTATTTCTGATATTCCAAAGGGGAGCTTAATTTACAGGTCTAGAAGAAAACCAAAACTTTACTATTGGCTTTCAATCACCCAATCAAAAAGTGGTATACATAGCAGATATTTTACCATGTGTTAACACCATTCCATCTGTTCAGAGGTTTATCATCCAATATAGCTACTTCTGATTAGTTATGACAAAGTTCGCTTCTTTTTTTAAATAAAAAAAAAGAATACATGAGGAGACATTCACCTTTTAAACCAGGGTTACAAAACAAATACAGCAGTACTTCTAATTTCTTAAGCACTGAAAATTTTCATTATCTCTTCCTATAACTAGGAAACTAAACAATTATGCTAGAAGAAAATGGCTTTTTGGGTCTAATTTATGGCACACTTCTTGTATATTTGGTGTTAATATATTAGTATTTCTTTTTCTCTCTGAGATGACTGCAACTAGAATACAGTACATATGCCTATGTAACTCACCAACCTGGCTGAATTTCAGTCATTTTAGCTGACGCCTGTCAGATTTTAAAGCACACCATCAAGATTTTTTTTTTTTCAAACATCAGCGGACTATGGAATAAGTGGTCAAGAACTGAATTACTGTTACAAACCCCCCAAAAAAGTAAGAGCAAATCTACAGTAGTCTTACGTGACACATTAAGATGAGTCAATGAAACATATCTCAATAAAGGCAAGAAACAAAACAGCATTTTTTCCATGTTAGTCAAATGTAGTCACTTACTGAAGAAAGTACTTTTTAATACTGATGTTAAACTTTTCTTCTGTTCTGAACTAAAAGAATTTCTACTTTTTAAAACCTGCAAAACCAACAGTGTAAAAGTCTTTCAAGTTAGCGTACTGTAAGTCATTATAGTAAATCAGTTTCACATTTTTTAATTGTGAAAACGTTTTCAAGTTTGCTCACATGCAAGACACTTTTTGAAATGAATTAACAGAAAAAACCATACATCTGAATAGGCAGTCTACTTCCAGTGGAAACATGCACTGCTGTTCAGGGAAACTAGCTGTGATATTGATGCTCAACCTCACAAAGCCACATTTTCACCCTCAAGGAAAAACCGATACTAGACAATTTTCTGACCTTTCTCCTTTACTCCCTGGCAAGAAAAATAGATCTTTGAAACATTAGCTATCCTTAGTCCTGTTGCCTCTTAACATACTAACAGCAGTTTTACAAAGAAAGGAAAGCACAAAATACAACAATTAACATAAAAAAAAAAAAAACAAAACAAAGCAACATTTCACTGAGTTATAACAACATATTAACTCACCTGCAGTGTTTCTATTTGTTTTCTGATACTGTTGTTAGATGGCATCTAAATAAAGCAATGTGAGACAGCAAAACATAACAAACATGAGAATGGGAGGCACATGCATGTTAGATGAAAAAAAAGCACAAAACCAACAGATAGCTGTCTAGTAAGGACTCTATTCAGTAGAAATACAGATTTTGCTGTAGTGGCAGAAAACATTCCTCCAACTTTCAAGGTTTTGTGGTAACACACACTAAGGTTAAACTGTGTGTGTGTGTGGGGGGGGAATTCTTTTCCACCCAACAGTGGTGCAGAATGATAGACATTTTTCTCTCCTGTTTCAGCAGCTTGCTTAAACGTTCCTTCCTCTCCCCGGAAGAGGTGGCAAGGACACCACAACAACTCAGCATCATCCAAGAATCTATCAGCTTTCTGATAAACCTGCTAAAATTAGTCTATCTAAATACTAGTCAAAAAGCGAGCAAAATGTTTTACAATACCGACCCAGTGTTATTGTCTGCTGAACAAATTCAGAATTTTGCCTACGCTACAGTGTGTAAAGAAATGCCCTGCTGGGCTCAATGCTCAAACAGTATCCTAACCGCTTTGTGGAACAAGGCCAGCTATACACATGCCAAGAGAAACCCTTTGGTACACTCCAGGTCTAAACTGATTCCTACAACTCACTCATCTGCTATTTGCATTGATACAGACCCAGAGCTATTTAATCCTTTCTCACAGCAGGAAAGAAAAAAACCCCAAACCTAGGCTTCCTCCTTTCAACAAGGCTAGGGTGTTTTCCCCATACAATATGCCTGCCTGCTTTGAGGATAACTAAAAGTAGTGTGCACTGAGCCCAGTACAAAGAGTTTACAAGGGCCATAAACGTTGCTAGTACTGGATCATGATTCAGAGTGCTCTCAGGAGCATGATCACATACAACGTAGCACTGAAACGCTGCACGGTAAAGGACGGTATGAACACACTATACATCAGGTACTATGGAGCAACTGCAAAGATGTGAGCTTTTGCACCATGGCAAAATGGGAAATTGCTTATTTCTGCCACCAAAGTGTGACCACGTGGTGTTTATTGCTAGGTAAGAGTTCGCACTGGGCAGTCACCAGGAATAAACTGAGCACCGTGAATCCATGACCTACATTACCCTTCCAGGACTTGCTAACGGACCTGTACTCTTCATAGAATATCTCTGTTACAGAGTCCAGGTGTTGTTATTCTCTCAATTGTTAATTTTAAGTAACATGGTAGGGGTGGATGAACATTTTCAGTATTCCCAAAATTACTTGATTAAATAACAAAGACACTAGAGACAATGGGTTTGGAATCCTTATTGCATTTTACATATTTAAGTAACCGCAAAAAAATAACTTTTGTCATTAGAAAATCAGGAAATAAAATGGGGAAGAGGAAATCTAAAAGACTAAACTGCTATGAAATTCAGATTTCTAAATTAATGAGATTACTTATTACAGACTGCATGCATTTAATTAGCTTCAGAAAAAAAAAGGAACACATTCATTCATAAGACACGTGAGGACAGTGGGGGTGTATTTTTCAAGATTAAACTCAACAATGTTTCTGAACAAGCTAGGCACCCAAAATAATAATAGTATTTGGTGGGCCAAGTTAACCAAACCATAAAATACCCTAAACTCGTTGATGGCACAGCATTAGAAGACTGCGAATTCTGAATTGCAGAAATTCATATGTAGAATTTCTGCTGAATAGAGCCTTACAGTAAACGTGTTAAGCTGTTAGTGGTTAAGAAAACTAAGTAAAATATAAAATGCATGCTCAGCAACTACCAGTTAAACTGACTGGCATTTATAGTTTTAATACATCCATTATCAGCAATGGACATTATGCCAGAAAAAAGCAACTCCTAGATTGTAAGAATTTTTTTAAAAGCTTGAAAAACAAAAGCAAAAGCAGCCTCCATAAGCAAAATAAACAACAAAACAAAAATAAAGGCAAATAGTGCAAAAGAATTGCAAACGTTAGATGAAAAATATACAAAAACCCAACAAGCAACAGAAAAGTGTGAAAGATGTCATGAAAACAAAATGACCCTTCAAAAACAATCCAAGCAGCTAAACCTGTTTCCTCCTGACTTCATGATAGTTTATATATTTTACTAATAAGCTTTGGAACTGTCACTCATACCTAACCAGAATGAATATTGTGAAGGCAGATCAAGGAACTTATTAAAATTATCAAAATCAATACATTAGGCAAAATCATGAACTATATTAATCAAAATTAAGGAAAGAACATGTACAACAATTAATGCTACAAGAAATTCACTAAAACTAATACCCAGTTTCTACGTATCATGATCTCTTTATCAATCAACTCATGTTTACAGTCCTATCAACTGAAGCTATGAGTTAAAGGGACACTGTAATTTTTACTTGGAAAATATATATCACAGGCTGTAGATAAAAATCTCTTTCCTGGACCCCCAATTCATTTTCTATTCCTTCAACAAGTGAACAAGAGAGAGAAGTTTTGCAATTACTATACATTCTACTTAGAGGAGTGGATAAGCCACTTATTTTCTCACATGTAATTTGCACGTGAAGAATTACAGTTTGTACTTTCTCTGGCATAAATACCATTTAATTAGCAGATACTTCTCCTCCTGCAGATTTTACTCAATAAAACTGATGGTCCCCCAAGGGAGCCACATCTATTTCCTGCATTACATAGCATCACAAAAACCTACTACTAAGTTTAATACTAACGGAGACTTAAGACATTTAATTAAAAAAAAAAAATCACAGTGTCCTTTTAAACAGCAAAATATTCATTGTTTATTTGGCACAAGAATGCTGAGAACATATTGGAATAAATACTATTGATTTGTGATAGTTCCTGAATTGGAAAGAAGTCTTACCTTTAGATGTGACAAACAGTTCTGCAGGAAAACGTGCCAGTTATTTAAAAAAAACTGTTTCTGACTGACACACAACAGGCAGGTGATCAATGGATACAAAGCCTATGAGTAGGGGGGAAAAAGAATCGATCAAATTGCTCTTTGCAGACCTCCCAAGTCTTGTACATTGAGAATGAGACACACAGTCTGTTCTTGCCTCTCGCTGTTTTAGCATTGCATGGCAGCCTTTCCCCCGCACTAGGGCACGCATGCCAGGCATGGTATCCTGCGTATAACCTATGAGCTCATGGTGTAAGAGCAGGGCAGCGGGACCATGGTGGTGCTCATCCCGTAGTAAGGCCTGATCTCAACATCTGCGAGCAGATCTCACTCTTCCTACAAGATTCACTCTTTCACTGCAACCACATGATTCAATTCATGGGTTCCCACAGGCTGGGAGAGGGAACTGCTTCCATGAAGAACAGTCAGGGAAAACATCATCGATTCAGCAAAACCTGAGGCAAACTTTAGGTTGTCAGAAACATTACTTCTCCTCAAGGTCTACTTTCAATAAGGAACGAAGAACAATTTAATAAAGTCTATGAATATGCAGACTAGCGTAACTTTGTTTTGCTTTAGTAACATAAGATTTGTTTAAATGCCACATACTTTAACAGAATACATAATAGTGATTAATACCAAATCGGACTGCAGATTATCTTGTTATAGAGCAAAATTAAAGAATGAGCATGAATAGGTAAGTTGTAAAGTTGATGTAACAATGTTTCTGACTTCATAAGTGACATTGTGAATACTAACATCATGTACTTTACATTATTCTTATATAAGGAGTTTAACCATGTACAATGAGATATGCTTTATATGCTCAGAAAGTAAAGCTCGTCGCTAACACAAAAGTGAGGATAAATCATTTTCAATTCACTTGCATTTACTGAATATGCCAACTGTAATGCAAAATCTAGCTCTACATTTCCAGCAAAGTGAAGTGAATCAACTTGAAACACAACTGCTATGGTCATCGAAAAATTACCAAACACTGCATTAATAAGAGATTTAAATCCTTGCTAAGATGCAGTCTTAGGGGAAAAGTTAAGATGTGGTCTCAAGGGGAAATAAACCCACAGATATTTATATTCAAGAAAGATAATTTAAAATATTGGAAAAAAGAAAAACAAAATGTATGAGGAGAGGAGAAAACAGGCAGAGCAGGGCTATTAACAGGCTGTTATTTTGCTGGAAAAATCTTGTCTGACACTTCTACCTTTTAATTAAACATAATTTAAATATACAGACTCCCTGAATGCAAGTTCTTTTTAGAAGAGACATTAGGTTACATAACTCTGTGCTAACACCCACTGAAATAATAAAAAACAAGCATTGATTTCAAGACAATCTCACAAGTGAGATAACAGAGCATGTATCTTGCACAAAGAAACAAATAAAAATCAGAACAAGTGTACATACACAGTGTAAATTTAATTATACTTGAACTGAGGAGTTAAGATTTAAATTAATACAGCTGTTAGCTTTCCCTCCTATAATGTACTAGCTTAAAAGTCTAAGATGAGCAAAATGGAGAAATTGAAATATTTCTTTAAAATACCAGTGAATGCTTCTTTCTTGAACTCAATTCAAAGGTAGTCTGATAAAGCATCTCCACAAAATTTTTCAAACATGGCACATTCACTTCATTTTTAACAGCCTATTAAAAAAATACACACATAAATGGGTTTAAAAATTTATACAGAAGGCAATTTAAATGTACATTAAAATGTCCATGAATTCAAGAACATTCAAAAGTTAAATCTCACATTAGGTGAGTATTTGAGTGTATTTACTGGAAGTATAAACAGAAGAAATCATGTCATACACTATACCCATACAGTTAAAAAACACAAAACAAACCCAAAACCTATTAAAAAATCCATGATTTTAAGAATGGGGCCTGCATTCCATACTTAAAGAAGAAAAAGTATTTGCCACCAACTAATAAATAAAAACTACACTGAAACTCCTTAAAAGTACAATTTCAGATATTTAGAAAAATAATCCCCATAACTTTTTCACTGTTCCTCTCTTCAACACTCCCCTTTTCTTTTACGTCCTCTGGTTCTGAAAACTGGAAACTTAGGAAACAATACACAGGATTACCAGCTAACCAACCACATCAGTGGTCTTTGTTCAGCTTTCAGAATTAATGAAATGGATACATAGAACCCTACACCATTTTTACAACTCTGTCCCTGCATACAGGACAGACTTCCTTCCACAAACCAGGCAGCTACTTTCATCAAAACCTCTGCAAGTCTCTCAGGCTTCTCTCTGGATACCTGTGGTGATCAGTTTAAACATTATTCTCAACCTACTGTTTTATACTGTGTTTCTGCTTTACTTATCAAATTGGGGTTGTGGTCGTGGTGAGTGGGGTTGTGGTGTGGGGTGTGTTGAAGAGGGGGTTGGCTTTTCTGGAAGAGATCCTCTATACTCATTTCCCTGTAAGGTGATTGTTAGTTTTTATTATTCAAAATTAATAAAAGATATGTTATGTCCACCTTGCTAAGAACACTGAAAATATTCATAATGGGGAAGTATAAAAAATAATGTATAATGTCTCTGTAATGTGTACAAATCCAAAATGAAAAAACTGAGAAAATAATTACATTTTAAATCACTTCCTACATACCCCCAAATTATTTATGTTTTGCTATTCTCAAGCTGTAAGTTGATGAGTACCCTGACAGCTCCACATGATATATTAGTCAGTTGTTGCCAGCACCACACTTGGTTTGGGATATAACCTTGGGCTTACAGATCAGCCTTAACTTCCCCGTTGTAAAATACGCTGTCATCCGTCATACCTGCAGGGTCCAAATCAGGTCATATTTTTAAAAATGCCTGAATGACTAAGCAAAAGAATGACATTAAAGAAGTCACAATGCCGAAACCCAATAGCTTCCTTGCTTAAGCAATTTTCTGTATCCAAGATACAGAAAAACCTAGATTCAGTTCCTTCATCTGCTTCAGAAAGATTCAAACTTGCATCTCACATCTTCCAAGAGAATGACTAACCCTCTCAACTGCATCTCAATCTGGGACAGGGCTCTTTGCTTCTATTTAAGAAGCTCCATTTGCATGGAATGATTAGAGACTCAATGAGTCAGAAGGAAAGATCAAGCCTCCCTCGCCAAGCGTTTAAAACGCTGATTCAGGCTATGCTTGTAGGAAGCGATCCACACACCACCACACAGGCTCTCTGCACAGCCGGTGTGCGTGCCTGCGTGGTTACCACCAGATAATCCCAATTCCCCAATGCTGCTTCTGCCTTGTTACTGTACATGCCGTTTTCACTGTATTTAAATTGTGATTTTGCGAACTAATATTTGTGTTTACCTAAATGCTAAGTACTTTCACAATGCATTCCCACTCCAACTGCTGAGCAACTATGGCATTCAAAACGACACATGCATTCACTTTGAAACAGGACAAGTAATTCGTTTCTAGAAAAGTATAAATATGCCCATGTAAGATCAAGACTTCAGTCAATAAACAGCTACTACTAACACCACCTCTATGTGGTCATGCCTTAAGAAGAAAGATTTCCTCCTCCTTCATTTTTTTTAAAAAACACCCAAGATTGAGACCAGGGAAGGGAGAGAAGCATTTCCCCATGTCTCAGGGCAAGGCAGACTGAAAGAGGATGCAGAATTCCGAGACATTTAGCTTTTCCTACAAGCTTGCTTGGATGGGATCCTCAGCCAGTGTGCTAGTCTTTGTATATCCCATTCTACAAAATGGGATCTATATGTCTCAGTTCTCCATATATAGCAAGACATGCCCCTATAATTAGGTGTAACACGGAGCCATGACCTGCCATTCTTCAGGACAGCATGCTGAACACACTGTGAACCAGCATTTGCTAATACAACCATCATTTTAGACAACAGTCACAGCAAGTATCCATCTTACTACAAGGAAACTTTCTGAGCTTGTGGTGAATGGTCAATTTGAGGTTGAGCTGCCGTAACTTCTTCTTGACCTGTTGACCAAGGTTTACACAACGGAGTGAAGCGGCCTGGGAGGAAGGGGGAGAGCCTGTCCTAACCGAAAGCATTCTCACAAGGAGCATTACAGGCCCTGTACGTCCAACACTGTGATGATATCGAGGTTTTTTATTTGTTCGTGGCTGCTAAGTAAAATTTCTGGCTTTAGATGTAAAATATGTACAGGAGGTGACTGACTGCTCTTCCACTTCAAGGATTGCATCTAGTGGACACTCACCTCTATGAACAATTTTTATTTAATTAGCCAAAACCTACATTCTTCCTTCTTGCATAGGAGTTCACACTCTCCCTATCAGACTGTAAAAATTTTACATATCTCAGTTTATTCTAGAAAGAACTTAACAAGTTTCAGCTAATAAAGAAAAGTCAAAGGAACTTTTGTGTAAACAAATATTAAAACAAGTATATTTCAAATTTTTAGAGCAAGTATAAGTGCGCTGGGGACAAAAGGCTCTAGAAAACAGACAATTTAAGAAGCTCAGGGAAAAAAAAAGGTTGAAAACTAGCTAATCACACTGACACATTTCCCTTTAAAAGGTTATGTAGGTGCTCATAATTTACTTACATCTTTTTGAATCTGTAAAAATGTAATAGTATGAGGTTTAATGGAAGCAATTTTAATAATGAGAGCCTAATTGAAAGTGAGGGAAATAGTGGGGGAAAAAATAAAAATACTTACAGCAGCCACAGGGATGAGAATTTCCACAAACAAACCAGCAAGTGCATGTTTTATATCTTTATCTTTTACTTCCAGGAAGTATTGAGCACATTCCTTAGTAAGGAAGCATTAGAAAAATACTTAGAAAAAAGATGACAAATGTCACTATGCAATAAAAACTACTAGCAGTATCACACTCAAGACTGAGATCAATGTCAATGGCTGTTAAATAACTCTAATAAAATTTACAACCAAGTTGCAATAACTTCAGTTACTGTGGAACGGATGAGTTAAGACAATTTTTAATCCACAATCAAGAGAAGCAAACAAAGAGATTTTAAGTCTCTCTGAAAATTAACTGAAGAGTTTTTTTAAACAAAAGTGTTTCTTGGCATCTAGGCTGTTAAAGATGTATCAAGTAACTTTTTTTTTAACTTACTGCTTTCATAAAGAAAGAAAATTATTTGATTGCTACCCATTTTCATTTAGTCTTGAATAAATTCATGTATTACAGGTTTGTCACATTACTGAGACAATTGAGAATGGGTTCTCATTATGCTAGGTACTCACGAACTGCAGAGAAAAAAATGATTCATATCTCTGAGAACTTAGGAACCAAACAGAAAAGGATGAAGGACGACACATAAGTAGAGTGAGTGACTGATCACAGCAAGCATCATTGTAGCTTCATGACTTAATCAAAATTGTGCTCATTTCAATTTTCTGTAATATTCATTTACCTGCATGAACTGAAAGGATGCTTCAAAATCCTCCACGGGATACATCTTTACTCGAAAAAACTTCATTCCCATAATCAAACTGATGATACTTTGTACTACATGAGGACTCTGTTCTTTTTGTCTCAGTTCCTTTAATTCAGTGACAAACTTCTTCCTAACAGCTTGAAACCTGAACAAGGGATATAGATGGCAGTTATTTGCATTCTTAGTTACTTTTATATGATGTCTATAATTTTGAACCTATTTCTTTAGTCTGTTAATGATAACAGCACATACAGTACAAGGAACACAGGCAAGATGAATCCTGATACTTAAAATCTAGGCATTTAAGAGTACCTATGATGATCAGCACATTAGAATATGCTCATTAACTGAACAACAACTATTGACTGATACCAGGCCTCCTTGCCCTGCACCTACAAGTTGACAGCAAAGCAATTCAATATTGCACTAAACATGCCAGACTATACCTGACTTCACTTGACACTTAAGGGATTAGTTACTGGGGTCATTAATCAATGCTGCTGTATTAAATAGTCTCTAAGTCGACTCATTTTTCCCCAAATGCAAGAAGAGTCAGAGACTGAACTTACTTTGATTGAGCAAGAACCCCTGTCACTTCTGCATATAAGTCTGCAATAATATGCACATTCCCAGTGTTGGTTCCTGAATACCTAAAGAGGAAAAAAAAAAAGGAAAAAAAAGAAGAAAAAAAAAGGTGTTAAATATAACTTTGTTCTTCTAAACTCCAAACATGTTCTCAATTACAAATAAAAAGTTTGTTCCATAGCAATGTGGACTATTACCATAAAACCAATGATGGTCAAGCATAAAATGCATGGCTGATATTTAAAGTGATGTAGTTTAATGGAGCAGACATTAAGAGGCATATTCTGCACAGGAAGTTTATGATAGTTACCTGAACTCAAACTTGTCTTACTCTGGCTAGCTAGGCAAATCATTCTGTATATTCTAAGCAAAATAAACTCAGCATTATATTGAACACAGCTGTGTTCTTTCCAGATAGGTTTTCAGTTTAAAGATATTAATTAGTGTTTGTTATCAGGTGTTGTCACTAGCATGTTACATGTGAGGCAAAGGAGAAACAATCACAACAATCAAGTACAGGCTGGTAATACACACAAAATATTTTAATGTACACAAGTGAAACTTACCCTTCCTTATGTTTAAAGTGCTTAAAAGCCAAGTTTAGAACTTCATGTACTAAAGGATCTGGCACCGGATGAACAGGTATCTGAAATGCAGATATCGTTTATATGTATGTAACTATGCATGTATACATACACATATGTCTGTATGAAGTAAATAAACAGTACTGTGAGATGCTCTGTAGAAATCTCTCCCAACACTGTCAAAGGACACATCCTTTGTTGGCATACGATATCAAGTTACTTCTGCAATATATGAACATTTACACAACCTGTATTGACATTCTCTTAAATTATTTTGCATAGTGGCTTCTAGGGATTAAATTAATAATAAAAGAAACAACAGTAATGTAAGTGCCATGAATTTGTCCTCAAAATTTATCGGACTGTTAAACATGCATCCTTCTACCTTGTGTAGCGTTACTATTACAGATTTAACCTCAAAATGCAATTCGCCTAAATATAAAGCAAGTCAAAACCAAAAAGTAAGAATGCAGAAGAGCTTACCATCTCTATTTCAGACTTTCGCAAATGAAAGCGGTCAATACATATAAAAATCTTCCTAGCAATAAGTAACAATTTGGTGAGAAACTAAAACCAAACAGTGTTTAGAAGGCCCTTTTTTACTGAGGTTTTCTTTGACATCATTGCTTTTCTCAGGTTTAAAAGAAAATATTTGCTTAAAAAATCAAATGTATTCTTTAAAAAAAGCACTATATATAATTATGAAGTCATATCATCTTTAAAATTTAAAAGGAATTTAGGTTGGGACCAGGATAACCCTACTTAATATTACTGCTTAAGAGTGATTAAGATTTTCACTAAAATATATTACAAGAAAAGATTACTGTCTTGTCTACAGAAAGTGCAGCACTTGCTGCTTGAGAACTTCATACTCTTCTGCATCAAGAAAGCTATATGTCCAATAACTTCCAGTTACTGGAACTGGCTATTTACATGCATATTCATACAATGAGTAATATGTAGTCATTTAAGCAAAAAATTTTTGTTCCTACATAAGTCATGTTTGTCACCCTCTCTCCAGTTGCTCTGCACACATTGTAGAAAGGGCTGGATCATACCCTTTGCACCCTCTAAAACCAATTTCTAAGAATTAAACAATGATAGGGTTCACAGGAAGACAGATGTAACATTAATGTAAATACATTTAGTGATAAAAAGCCATCCTTTCTGCACTTTGTTTCTGCCTAATTGCAGACTGGTCAGTAGTGTCTCAGAGAGGGATAGGCAGCACTTTTGTTTTACTGTCTTCATTTTTCCCTGTATCACAAACATGCCATACACAACCACATAAACATAAATCACCTACAAATTAAACCATAGTTCTTGCTTTTCTTAGTACAGAAAGCCATTTAGTTTTCATGTATCTATACATAAAACACATAAATTACTTAAGTATTTGAAACATGAAGTTTGCTCAAGTTTGCTTCATGTTTCAAACCCTTTCTTACAGTAATCTTTTGCTTCTGTCAAAAAATTCAAGAAATAAATGCCACTGCTTGAAGCCAAACTCTATCCTCTTGTCCATATACCAAAGCAAACTTTGTATTAACAGAAATTGTGCATGTGACATCATCTAGCACTACACTATAAGGCAAAATTACATACACTTTCTTATTATTTTTAAGTGACATTTTAATCTTGTCATTCAATGATTTCACATTTTATTTCAAAAATGTTTAAGCAGACAAAAGGCACTGAATATAAATAAAATGTTATTTTTTACAGTTTTGCTTTTTGCAGTACATCAGCAGCTTTGACTTAGTGGATCCAAGACACGTGAACTGAGACAATGCAAGCATGTAAAGAAAAGATAGGAGAGGCCAAAGGCTTTATGCAACTCAAGAGTATAATTACAGCCTTGCATATGCTCATCATATATATGCTCCAGTTTTTAATCTAAAAATTTAAAGATGATGATCAAAACTGACATTAAAACCAAAATATTGAAAGAAGTTTGTCAAAGCAAAAGATCTTACCTGTTTTAGAACCTCTATTAAAACTAAACAAAAAATGAAATCTACAGCTAAGTCCCTCCTTTCAAGTAGATAATCTCTTTCACGTTGTTGGTCATCCCTAAAATAAGAAATCAAGAACACACGTATCATACACAAGACTGAACACAAATATTGCAGAGAAGGAGTATACATGTCTTTCATGCAATCATTGTTACACATGTGTAGAAAATGGATGGTTAGAGAAACTTTTGGGTTTGATGCAGCACTGACATCTTGCCCGCTCCTGAAAGGGTCTACAAGAACCAAAACAATTCAAAAAGGGGACAAACTAGCTTGGAATTATCAGCATCTAACCTCCTTCTGTACATCAATCCCCAAATCATTAAGTCACTTCACGCAGACCATCTACACAAGTTAAATACACTACCTCAAAGAAGCCCACGCTCCTCCTACACAGATTTAGGTCATGACAGATCCGAATACAAAATACTTGTCAAAAAATTACAAAGCACGCATTTTCTCACAAGAAAGCACACAAAACTCAGACTTTTGCAAGAAAAACTCTTACCCCTTTGATTTTGTGCTAGACCGAGGTCTATATTCGTAAGATTCATCTTCTGTTCCATTTTGACGCCTGTACCAGTCAAACAAGGTGCGTAATAAGGAGGGGAGACAGTGCTCTGCTACTGAGCTCATAGAGCTTATCAACTGGGAAACAAAAAAAAAAAGAAAAATAGTTTAGCATGATAAAGCAATCTAAAAATCCTAGAATTATGATCATTCTTTCAAATTGTTTTTTAGTGTGAAAAACTGTGTGTCATATAATTTTACAAAGTGGCAACTTTCTGTATCATTTTCACCTAGGAGAATTACTGTAAATATGACACACTAAGTCAATTATTATGATAAATTTAAGCAAAGTGTTCCGAAGTTCACGGGGATCACCAAACCCTGAATTTATATGGATAACCTATAAAAAAAATAATTGAGAAAACAGCAGAGATTTTAGGATGTCCCTGAATGTTGCCATTATATATCTCTGAGGTATATGTACCTTTACATTACAAGTAAGAGGTAACCCTCCAAAACTGAGTAAGTATGTAACCTTCAAAACCATGTTTCTTTGGTTATTATACAAACAAAAATAAGCGCCTTTTGGGTATTCTAATCTACTTTGAATAGATTTGACTGGTCTAGATCTCAAGCTCTATGTACTTGCAACATAACTCCCCCATCTACTGCTCTCTTTTCAGAAAACCCATATGATTTGTAAACTTATCCATGAAACTGTGGCAGTAGAAACGGTTATAGAAGGAAGACTTTAACATGCTATGAAACTTAAATTCTCTAGGCTTCCTTTAACCTAAACTTTAACAGAACTCATCAGTGCCCGAGCTCTGAGAGGAGAACAACTGGCGAAAGACAGCATAAAGCAGCTGGAAAGTCCCTGCCAGGAGGCAGCAGGGAGCAAGCCCATCCCCAAAGCACTGACTGGAAAAGGAGAGTTACCACGTTGCTCACTGATGCCATACATTAATTACCTCTTGCATCTTTCAAATAAAAGGTTTCAACAGAAGCCATCCTCATGCTGTAACTTATCTATTATTCACTATTCCGGAAAACCAAGATAAGATCAGTGCCATTATTTCTTTGTCCTAATTTGAAGCACCTTGGTTTTTCAGGTTTGGGGAAAGGACAGGGGCAGGTTTCCATATGGAAACCTCAGGAGGACCTCTTTCAGCCATCTGAATACTTTACTCAACTTGTTAACCAGTCAGCTATTCAAGTCACAAGAAGTATGTAGTACTCTTGACTCTCTGAAAAATTGCTTAATTATATAAACAAGTGGATAAACTTCCTCAAAATAAGTAAAATCATATTCTTATTCTGTAAGTTCATAAAATTTTAAATCCCAGTATACAATACAAACTACATATATTCCAAATCTGAACCGGAACTAGGTTTCATCAAGAAATTTTTACTAGAATGAGATTACTTTTTTCTTATTATTATTGTCTGTCAATAGACCACTCACTAAAAAGGGATTCAGTAGAAAAACTAGGCACACCTGCTGCAAGAGGGGCACACATGTTGAGCTAACTGCACAAAAAGATGAAGGCAGTTATGGCAGGCAACACAAAACCATATGAAGTCTTTTTAACACAGAAAAGAAACAGAACCTAGAAATACTCTTTAGGCTTCCTATAATGCCTTGCATCTCAGAACAAAGGCTAAATTTTGAGAAAACCTTCACTCTTATACACACTGAAATCTTTATGACTTGCTTTGGAAACTAAGGATGTTGTACGCCTGTTCCTTGTGCACCAATATCCATACAAAACAAATACCCAGTCAACCAACCAATATGCATACACAAACAACTTTGAGAAGTGGACAGTAAAAACCAGCTCAATTTTACCACTGTAAAGTTCCATTGTGATTTGAAATGAAGCAGTGCATGATGAAAAGGAAGACATACAAATTAAAATGTTGCTTAAGAGAATTTTCTGATGTGGCAGTGGCCGGACAAACTTGCTTGGAAAAAAAACAATAGCGAAAACTTGTGAAAAGGGAGAGTAGAAGAAGAAAGAAAAACTACGAGGAAATTTTAGACACTTGTGGGCTACTATTAAAATTATAATCCTTCAGTAAGAGAAAGCATCAGAAAAAAAGAACTCAAAAGACTCATTTGTGTTGTTAAAGCTTCAAAAAATCTTCATTGAGATTTCATGTGCAAGAAATGCCTGTTGCTTGCATCAGCTTGGGGTTCTTAAACATCTCTGTTGACCTTACTTCAGCCACGAGCAGAGATCACAAATTAAAAGCATTAACATATTTTTGGGGAAAAAAAAGAGATTCAGAAAGCAGAAAGAACAAAATCTCCTCATGAGTTACTAAATTGAAGGTATTAGACTCAACATAAAAGCATCAATGTAAATGGTAATCCTTAGAATGAAAGCTAAAGCTAAACTTGATGACGAGGGGATCTATCACCAACCACAGCAATTCAAAATGGGTTTTGCCTTTAGAATTTACTATCGTTTCCCATACCCCAAATAACCTTAACACTGGGGAAACACATTCATTTCTCTTACTCTAAAAATAATGGTATATCCAATACACATCCATGCAACAGGACAGGAACAGTTTAAGCCAACACTTAAGTTACCCTGTGCTGCCAATGTAAAATGACCACACAAAGCACTTCTACTACTCCTCTGCCTTCCTCTGAACTGATGGGTTTATTAGTAGAAGAAAAAGAAGAAAGCTGTATTTTAAGCTCTACTAAATCTTTTCCTTACGTTTTCCTGCAAGTTTCCACAGTATATTAATACTACTACCATTCATAAACATTCTAGTAGTTAGGCAATTTACATAATCTTCCACAGAAACAAGCTGTTATCACATGCATTAAAAAAATCTGTCATTGGTAAAGTGCTAAACGCAGAAACTACTGGCATTATAAAGCATTTTCTTCTTGAAATGAAAAACCAGTTTTACATTATAATTATCTATTTCCTGCCAGGTTTTGCATCCTTAATATTTTAATGTAAAGGCATGGGAATTATCAGGAAGATTAAATCTTTGCTCATATTACATAGCTGCTAAGCAGAACATGAGCTATATGCTGCTTCTTTTTATTTAAAATAATTATCATACTGCTTAGATACTAAATTCAAGATCATCTTATATAAAAATTCTAAGAAAACCCTTCTATTTTAGCATTAAATTATGGCTAGGTTGAAAGCAGCAATCCAGACAGAGATCCTATAACGCCCAAGAGGACAGGGCTGGACTAGTCATCATGACATATACTTATATTCCTCGGAATGAAACAGCATAGTGTGGTCCAGTCTTAAAGGCCGTAAAACATTGCTAACTGCTGCACTTAATATACCCAACAGCATACTGAAAGGTAAGGAGAGACACAAACAAAATTATAGTAAGATGCTGGAACCCGAATTCCAGCTATGGCCAAAATCCTGATCCTGAAAACATTGCTCGAGTTGTGCCTAATCATGAACAAGCCTGAATGTCTGAGACACGTTTGCTTTCAGCAAAGTCACTGAGATGGCCAAGATACGCTTCTGCGTGATCATAAAGTTTTGGTGTCTTAGGATGAGAGTAGGAAATTGCCAAGTATGATTCCTACAACAAAAACAGAAGAAAAATACAAGCTATTTCAGTTTTGAGCTGTACAAGCAAAAAATATTTTAAGTAATGCAATATATGCTCTATAAAAAAATTCATCTCCAGTAGCTTCTTGATGCGCTGGAAATGATAAAGGGAAAGCACCGGTACTAAAATGCTCAAAATTTTATCAGTTTAGAAGTGTATCAACATAAAAATTTCCTTCTCATTTTCCAAAGTTTCATCTCTTTTAGCTAAATTTATGGTTTTGTTCAATTAAAACTTCACTGACAAATAAAATAATTGTACTATTTGAAAATTTAAAACTATTGATTTTACAATCTCAAATCTAATAGCAGCCCTCTTGGTCTGGTTATGTGTGTTAGGTTTGCATGG